GGGAGGCACAGGGGTTGGGACAGAGGACGCGTGGGAGTGCAGCTGCGGAGGGCCCTTCTTAATAGATGTCTTCGTGTAGACTTGAAGGTAAAGTCTCTCAGTTACCAACCAAGCGTTTTAACTGTACCTTTCAGGGACTGGGTGGTTGGGGGGGGGGTGCGCGCGTGCATGCACTTAATGGTAAGGAACTGCACTGTTAACACAAAGATAAGTGGCTCGAATCCACCAAGTGCTCTGCGGTTGAAAGATGGGCATTCTCCTGTACAATTTACTGCCTCTGAAAACCCACTGGATGGTCAGCTAGGAGTTGATTCCTACTCGATGGTACAAACATACACACATGCATTCTTTTTTACATTTTTTTATTCTATGTTTTTGTATAAAACTGTGTGTGTATACAAGTCTCATTATGTTAGACAAAAAAAATGAAATCATCTATAAATTATAGAAAGGATCTATCTCTTTAACTTACATGTTAGATATAAGTTCAAAAATAGAAAACTTATACCCTTAACAAAAGGTAGCAACTTCTAGGGAGTCCTTTGAGACTCGTCACATTTTTTACTTTGAGGAAGTTATGTACCATCTGCAAGGACTCACTTCCAGTCCTGGGGTGAGTGAGGTCTCGTCTATCCTCTGTGAAAGGCTCCTCCAAAAAGCACACAGGTCACTGGGCATGGCTCTCTCCTGCTACAATCTTACCTCGCAGGTAACTTTCATAGTCACCAAGCTTCCTTCCTTCCTTCCTTCAACCCAAGAGGAAATCGAACTACTTTCAGGAATGTTTTAGGCCTTTTTCATTGCTAGATCGCAGAGTCTTTAAATTTGCAGGCGTAAATGTCAGCGGCCCAGGGCCTCAGCCCTTAGTGAGTGTGGTTGCTGAAACAGCATGACATCCCGACCCTGGCAGTTCAGATGCTGACTGGAGCAGTGACACATTGGCGTCGATCTCCATCTCTGTGGAGTCCCCTTGTTCTGAGGGTCAGGGAAGAACACGGAACCCTTCAGTTGTGAGATGGAGGAATCTGAGACAAGATCCTCGTTGACTTCATGAGAGTTTTAACTTGGAATTGAGAAATGAAAAGTCATATCATCCTCTGGGTTAACGGGCAAAGAATGGAAATGTTGCTTGCAGCGTTAATTAGAGAAAATAATAGGAATAATTCAAGGCCTTTTCTCTCTCTAGACAAAAAGACAGTGGAGGGGAAAGTGTTATTTTTATCAGTCACTATCACAAACTTTTAAATAAATTTTAGAATTAGCAAATGAAACTACCGTTGTGGAAAGGAGCATAGCAAGGAAACGCAACTGCATTTTCTGTAGCGTCTGCAGCTTTATGAAGCAGATTCTTGAATGTAACATGGGTATCGAATAAGATTGTTTTAATAACACTTTCCAAATCTAAGAAGTTTCTTTTACCTAAAATTTCTCACCTGACTCATTCAGGGGATCTTTATATTGTCCCCTTTGAGAGATACTCTGGCTGAGGTGAAAATGCCAAATTCCACTTGTCAACCTGGGACAGTGAACTGCAGGTTCTGTTCGCCTTTCTAGTGGGTCCTCAGTCCACAGAGAAGGACCAAAGGTGAGACCCCCCCCCCGCCACCCTGGTGTGGTGGCTGCATTTCGGCTGTGGGAAAGCGCAAAGGCGTGCCACGGTAACAAGTCATTCTTTTTCTACAGCCGTGAAGTTTCTTGCACCTGGTAGTCCATTTAACAGCTCTTAAAAAGAAAGAAAATATTTTGGTTTTCTCATCCAGGAGACAGTGGGGCAGGAAGCGCAGGTGGTGTGAGAGGTGCAGCAGATGAAGACGAAAGCCCTTAGTTAAGATTTATGAGCTGCCGGCCCCTTCCTCCTAAGCAGCTCCGCAACATGAAACTCACTCCCTGCTCAAGTCCTCACTTGGCATCGAGGTGTGGACAAGGCTGACACAGAAGAGGTGCTGGCAAGGATGTAGGACCAGGCTTTGTGCTCCTCCAAACCCTGCATTTCCCTTCCTCCACCTGTTTATCATTTATCAGAAGTAAACACCATTCTTGGAGAAAAGAAATGTGCTCAGGCAACTTTGAGTTGTCCCCCTCGTGCATACATTGGCAGCAAAGGAAGCCCACAGCCAAGGTTCCGGAAGGACAGAGTTCCATCGGTGGAACGTGTTCTCTCTGTACCCGTGTGCCATTATTTCCATATGGTATTAAGGAATTTTGATGGTAAAACTGGAGTCCTGGGCTTGGTCCCAGTGCCAGACTAGTGACAAATGGTTCAGACCCACTCCACAGGGCCTCAGAAGAAAGGCCAGTAGGTCACAGCCAGGGAAACTCTGGAGCACAGTTCTCCCATCACGTGGTCTCAGGAGGCAGCTCTGGCAGTTGGTTTGCTTTGGTTTGAGGCAAAGAAGCTCTTTCGCAGCACAGCAAGCTCGCTTCAAGGGGAGCCACAGCTCTAACCGCAAAGGAAGAGGTTAGCATGCTCTTACCTGGACCAAAGTCTGCCAGTGTGTGGCATCGTCCTCGCTCGGGTGGATCCCCAAGTTCCAGCGCCTCTGCACCACATAGATCACAGGCTCGATGGAAATGTTGAATTTCGAGGACCACTTAATCTCCAGCTGTCCAGAAGGCAGTTCTGTGAATCGTAACTCCTTCCTGGGCTTCAGGGGAACACCTGCAGTGGGACCATGCAATGAAAACAACCTGCTGGGGACGCCCCCCAGGTGACAGAGGAAAGACCCACGGCAGGGGGTCATTCTCACCAGGTGATGGCTGAGCCTGTTTCCTTCGTGAGCGTGGCCCCCCCAAGTAGAAATGTTCCAACAGAAGTGAGCCTATCACGTCACAGTATTCGCTCCTTTCAGCATTTCTTTTCTTTTTTAAAAAGGTTATATAGTTACTACAACTTGCAAAGAGTCATAGTAGCACAATGGGTAAAGGCTTGATAATAAAGGAAAGGTTAGCAGTTTGAACCCACCCAACAGCTCCAGACCCACCTCCTGCCACCAAGGTGGTGCCACCTCATAGTGACCCTACAGGATGCCTGTCGTGAGCGCACTGACGCTTCACCTGCTGTCCCGCCAGGGCTCCTTGCAGCTTCATGGAATTCTAGGAAACCCTGGGACCTTCTACATGGCCATTTTTCTTTCCACATGTTTCCATGCCAGCCTTACATTGTCCTCACACATCCTTTCTTTGGTCCCAGCTTTCCTATAATGACAGACTTCTTAAACCCTCTGCACGGTGGGGTGGCTGTGCGCCATAACTCGTTCAAAGGCAACCACACCACCAAATACATTCACAACCAACAGGCCGTGTCAGCAATCTTTGCTGGACAAGCCTGGGACTTGAATTACGTGGGTTCATCCTACCATTCAAGCATTCCCCTTGGCTGACCCCAATTCCTCCAGCACCTTCACAGTGCTTCTCAGAGTTCCCTGATTCTGAAGGACTCACCTGGATTTAAGAACGAAGGTTCAGAATAGTAGCCAGTATGGAAAGAGGATTTTAAAACACATTTATATGCTGATAGGATGTTTATAATGCTGAATTAGAGTGGACCTGTGGCTTGGAGCGTTCGGGACCATCAACACCAAGAACCCCACTGATAGTAATATTTTCTGTTGAGGATGAGTATTTGCCTAAGGCATTGAAAATGTTAGTTTCAAATGCTCTATTTCTCCCATTTCTTATGAAAATGTACCAAAAAAAGAATGTAGCAGAACATCACCAGTTACTGATTTTTGATCTGAATTCACATTAAGTCTTGTCTGGGAAAATTTGAAGTCAAACATTTAGATGGATTCTTTAAAAACAGCATTTTCCTAGCTAACCAAAAGGTCACTGATTGAAAGCAGTAGCTGGTCTCCAGAGAAGGGCTCCCTGTGCGCCACCCCTACCTCACTGTGATGGTCTGGTGGCTGTTTCCTTCTGCATACTGCCTCTGGTTGACCATAAATTGGTCTGACTTGATTGCTCCTCTGACTTTGGGACAAGGGTGAAGGGTTAATGATCTGCATTCTGACACAGATAATTGAGTCTCAGGAAGATGAAGGAAATTGCCTGGAGCTATGGTCTAACCTCGGGTTTCTCTCTGGATTCACTTTGGAGAAACTCCTTGGAAAGATGGAGAGAAGAGGTGGCATTGATAGATCTGCAGGCCCTTTACACGTTCTTATTCCACTGCTGTCGGCTTTTCCAAGCCGCCTCCCACTGACTACCTTCATGTGAATGTCTGCCAAGCTTTTTTTTTTTACATTGCTTTGCAGTCATTCATAAACATTGAGCTTCATTCATGTACATTGTGTTTTATACAGTCTATCATTTGCACTGTGTTTCATAAGGTCATTCTTATACATGGTCTTTTGTATCATTATTCTTAACCTATGTCTATTATTAGGAAGCTCTGGTAGCCTAGTGGTAAGAAGCTGTGCTGCAATCCCAAAAGGACATGGTTCTAATCGACCAGCTGTTCCACAGCAGAAGGAGGGACAGTCCTTTCCTTTGAGATTAACTGCCTCTAAAAACACGCAGGAGGGTCACCTATGGGTGGGTTCCAACTCTACGGCCATAACAGCAGCAACAACAACGCCTATTACAACTCCATCTTTTCAAGTCCCTATTGAATCTTTGCCAGTCCTGCTATCCTAGTGTTTTCCACCCGTCCCCTTTTTCTGCCCCCTTCCTTCTTCCCCCTTCTGGGCATTTATACACATCTTATTCCGTTATCCTTCTACTTCTACAATAATGGTCTTATGCAGTATTTGTCCTTATGAGACTGAGTTAGTTCACTCAGCATAATGTTCTCCAGACACTCTCATATAAATACTATAGACTATATAGTATTTTATGAAATCGTTGTTCCTTAGTATTCTACTGTGTGAATGTACCCCAGTTTCTCAATCCATTCACTTGTTCATGGGCATTTGAGTTGTTTCCATTTTCTTGCTGTTGTGAATAACACTCCTATGAACATAGGTGTACATATCTCCAGGCCTCAGTTCGGATTTCTTGGGGGCATATTCCTAACAGTGGAATACCTAGATCACATGAGATTTCTATGTTCAGCTTTTTGAGGAAGCACCAAACTGCCATCCAGAGTGGTTGTACCATTGTACAATCTCACCAACTGTATATGAGAGCATAGGGATCTCTCTACATCCTCTCCAACATTTATTGCTTGCTGTCCTGTTACACTTTGCTATTGAGGTGAGATAGTATCTCATTGTTTTTATGACTTGGATCTCTGTTAACTGCCAGTGATTTTAAGCTTTTCTTCATGTGTCTGTTTGCCATCCAGATGTCTTCCTCTGTGAAGAGTCCTTTCCCCATTGTTATTGAATGACCAGTCTTTTCCTTGTGGAGGCCCTTAAGTCTGTAAACTTTCATAATGAGACCTTTGTCTGAGATGCCATTGTCAAATGCTCTTTCACAGTCAGTAGGTTTCCTTTTTACTCTATTTGAAAAAGTAGTTGATGCATCTTTAGAACCTCCACTCTTTGATGTGATCCCGCCTTAGTTAAGTCCTCTTACTGTTTCTTTTTCTTTCTTTCTTTTTTTAATAAGGGAAAAACATTTAATTCACCAACTCCATATAATTATCACAGCTTCAAGCCACCAGGACACAGCACCCCCCCCCCAACCCCCCAAACACATACTCTTAATCTTCTCCTCAGCTCTTCTGCTGAAGAATTTGGCCTTCACAATGACTGGTCGCTTTGGGAGCTTCCCCCCGGCCCCCAACTTTGTAGTAACCTGATTACACTACATCAGTGATGGCAGCAGCTCCTAGCTTGTTTTTTGCAGCATTACTCTTGTCTGCTCACTGACAAAGGTCCATCATTTGTCAGGGTTGACAATTGAGCAGTAGCTCTGATTCCTCTTCAGGAGGTAGTGTCTCATACCATCCCTTCCAGAACAACCTGGATGGTATTTGTCAAATATGGGTGTTAGACTTGTAGGCATGCACGCACCACCATTACCTCAGCCTCCATGGTACTTCCCGATGCGGCCATGGCTGTGATTCACGTGGCCCCTAAGTTTCAAGTCTGCCTCAGTCTTGATGGCATTTTAGTTGCCGACTTATTGTTTCTTGTAGTAGCGTTTTGTAGTTTTCTTTATAAAGGTTTTGTTTGCCTCTAGTTAGGTTTATTCCCAAGTGTCTAATCTTGTGGTTGGCTACTGCAAATGGTATTGTTTTCTTTCCTTTTCCATGTTTTCTTTGTTGCTATAGAGAAAGCCTACTTATTTTTGTATACTGATCATGTATCCTGCCACTTTAACAAATTGGTCTACTAGGTCTAACAGTTTGTTGTTTGGGTTCCTTTCCCCCCCCCCCTTTGGAGTTTTCACTGTACACTGTCACACTGTCTGCATACAGTGACAGTTTTACGACCCATTTGCTAATTTGGATGTCTTTTTTTAATTTTCTCTCTTGTCTTACTACCCTAGCAAGCATTTCCAATACAGTATAGAAGAAGAGTGGTGACATGGGGCATTCTTGTCTGGTCCCTGTTCACAAGGAGAATGTCTTTTGCATTTCTCTATTGAGAATGATGTTGCCTCTTGGTTTTGTGTATATACTTTAAACTATGTTGAAGAATTTCCCTTCTATTCCTATTTTGCCGAGTGTTATAATTAGGAAAGGGTGTTAGATTTGTGTTTCTTAATGCCTTTCTTCTGGAACCAAACAGTTACTGATTCATGATGACCCCACACATGCAAAGAACTGCTCTAGGGGCATTTAAGGGTGTGGTCTATCAGAAACAAATCTCAAGGACTTGTTTCCAAGATGCCTGGGGTGAGCTCAGACCACCAACCTTTGAGCCAGTGGTTAAGCACTTAAGTATAAGTGACTGTGCTACACAGGAACTCCCTTCAGTGAATGGGATTTGTTTCATAACTATAATTTTTTCAAAGAAATGTTGTTGTTTACTCTCGAGTCTGAGCCAACTCATAGCTGACCCTCTGGTGGGTTTTCAGAGTCAGTTAATCACACAAAAGGAGATCGCCCATTTTTTCGCCCACAGAGCAGCTGGTGGTCTCGAACCACATGCCTTCACAGCTGCACTGCAGCACAGCTTCTTGCCACTAGGCCAAATCCTTTTCCAACTCCTCTCTTTCCCATTCCACTTGGCTGCCTCACTTTTTCCTATCAGCCTCATCTCGAATGCTGCTACCCGATATCTGTGATATATCTATGTGATAATTAGGGAGCTCTGTTAGCTGAGCTGCAATCCCAAAGGCACATGATTCTAATCCACCAGCAACTCCACAAAGCTATCTCTTAGAGATTAACTGCTTTTGAAAACCCATGGGAGGGTCAGCTATGGGTCAGTTCTGACAACACATGAAAACAGCACGTGATAAACAGTTTTCAGCTCCCCAAGAGTGTCCTAGTGGCACAGTGTGTAACTTATTGGGCTGCTTTGGAAACCTGGCGGATGGTTGTCATGAATTGGTTTTAAGATTAAAAGGTCTTTCAAAGGCTCTGGTAGTTCAGTGGTTAAAGCGCTCACTTCCTAGGAGAAAAGTCCATGGTCTGCGCTCACCAGTTGTGCCCCAGGAGTTAGACAAGGCAGTCTGCTGCCGTAAAGACACCACCTGGAAATCCTCGGAGCCGTGTTCTTAACTAGCGTGACCAGGAGTGGGCTTGGTTTGCTTTTAGGGGTCAGA